CTACGAGAAGGGCCACCAAGCCACCAAGGCTACCAATTTGGAGGAGGAGGAAGAGGAGGTGCGGACGAGGAGGACGAGGATACAGATGAGGAGGCTAGACACGTGGAGGTGGCGGGGGTAGGAAGAGGAGGAGGCGAGGAGAAGGTTAGACACGTGGGAGAGGAGAAAGAGGAGGAGGCTAGACACGTGGTTGGGAGGAGGTGCGGACGAGGAGGAAGAGGAGGACAAGGAGGATGACCCTCTCGCCCGGCACTGGCCGCTCCCCAGCGGCTGGTGCGCCTGGTCAAGACCGCAAAGAACTTGGACAAGCAGTGGGTGAAGGCGAGGAGGATCATCGTCATCGACACCGTGCAGCGCCAGTACGGATAAGGTGGGGGGGTCCAGGGAGTGCGCGTGCTGCCCCGCCACCGTCGTCGCCATCGTCGACGTCACCACCATCAGTGCTACTACCACCATCGCCACACCTCATCACCATCACCATCATCATATGTATCACCATCATCGACATCACCGCCTCATCTCAACCACCAGCGTCACACAGCACCGCCATCATCATCATCATTATCAGCATCATCAGCATCATCGCCAACAGCATCCTCATCCTCACCATCAGCATCGCCAGTATCGTATGCATGGGGGAGCCTTGGGGTGGCCATGCACGCTCCCTGCTTCGGGTCCCAAGCGTTGTCATCATCACCACCATCAGGATCGTAGTCATCGTCGCCATTGGCGGCTTAACCATCATCATCACTATTCACCCGTTGGGGAGGTCACCGACTACTACGCCCCCATCCCCAGGAAGGGCGCGAGGCATTGTTCGCGAGTACTGGTTCGTGCTCGTGCCTACCGCATGAAGTGCTGAAAAAGGGGGTGGGGTAGCGACGTAGAAGTACGGGAGTATGATACACCTCCGTACTAGCATTTGTGCTGCGATGCGTGGCATAGGGTATGCATGTTGCGAGCCTGCTAATGGACAGGCGACCCATAGCCCGGGAGCTCTGGCACGAACGTGCGAGGGAGAGATGAGTGGGATCACATTGGGGATCTCGATCTGCGATCTGGGTTGAGCGAGTCCACGTCTGAATGAATGTGACCATGCGCATGCATAAACATGACTGAGCCTGAACATGCCGAAATCTGAATACGGACGGAGCTGCCGCGGAATCTGATTGAGTCGGATCGGAAGTGCCGTGCTCGAAGGATCCCTCCGACCCCATCTCCTGCCGCCTGACCTTGCGGAGGCGTTCTTTCGAGGAGGATGTCTTGAGACGACGTGGAACGTGGAGGGAGGAGGGATGCTTGGAGGAGGACCGAAGTGAAGAGAGGAAACGGGGAGTACAAGGTGCCGAAAGTTCCTGCCTCGACAGCTTGCCTAGGTGATCGAGCCCGCGCCAAGGGGCCAGGCCCGGGGGGGCCTGCTCGAGAACGCAGCTGGGGGTGACCAGGGGGGGCTCTGCAGGGGAGGGAATGGTTGGCCACCTGGGCCCGTCCAGCGCATGTCAAATTCTGCTGCAACGTATGCACACAGGCACACGTACGTATGCATGCGTTGTTGTAAACAGCCAGGATTTAGCTTCCCCAGCCCAGAACATGCCCAAACGCCCACCTTGATCTCGACCCCCCCACCCCCCCACCCCCCGCCATCCTGATCCGCGTCTGCTCGAGGCAGGCGCCTCGGGCTGATCAGAGCGACAACGCCTCGACCGACCGACCGACGACGACGCCGACCGACCGACCGAACAGCCGACGACGACGATGACGACGACGATACGACGACGACGACGACGACGGCGACGACGACGACGACGACGGCGACGACGACGACGACGACGACGACGACAACGACCGACGACGACGACGACGACGACGACGACGACGACGACGATGACGACGACGACGACGACGACCATGACGACGACGGGGCCCGCGGGAGCCCCACGTGGGGCCCAGGGGTGGACTGGTGGCCAACCATCGGGGCACGGACCCGCCCTGCACGCCTCGAGAGCTTGCCTGCCTGAGCACGGGCGCACGCGACCCGATCGGATACCCTTGCCCCCGCCCCCCCCCGCGTCGTCCTTTGGGGGTGGGAGCGATCCTGGCCCATCCTGGCCAGCTTGGGGGGCCCATGGGGTTCCAAGGGCAAGCTTGGCCCAACCTGGAGGGGGTCCGACGGCGTCCTGGGGAACCTGGGGGAATCTGAGAGCGTCCTGGGCCCGCTCTGGGGGGGGGTCGACGGCGTCCTGGGCGTTCCTGGGGGGCACGGGTGGGTCCGAGGGCGTTCTGTGACCGCCCTGGTGGGGTCCGACGGCGTCCTGGGCGTCCTGGGGGTCTTTCGTGTTTTTCAGTGTTTCGTGTTTTTTTCGTGTTTCTTCGTGTTTTTTCGTGTTTTGTCCTGTTTTCCTGTTTTTCCTGTTTTCCCGTTTTCCTGTTTTCTTCATGTTTTATCATGTTTTTTCATGTTTTTTCCTGTTTTCCCGTTTTTCCTGTTTTCCCGTTTTCGTGTTTTCTTCATGTTTTGTCATGTTTTGTCATGTTTTTTCATGTTTTTCCTGTTTTTCATGTTTTCGTGTTTTTCATGTTTTATCATGTTTTATCATGTTTTATAATGTTTTCACGTTTTTCATGTTTTTCATATTTTATCATGTTTGTTCATGTTTTTTCATGTTTTCCCGTTTTTCATGTTTTCGTGTTTTTCATGTTTTATCATGTTGTATCGTGTTTTATACTGTTTTTTAATGTTTTTCATGTTTTCATGTTTTGTCATGTTTTTCATGTTTTTACCAGAGGTCTGGGGGGACACCACCCGTGTCGCTCTGGCAACGGTTTCAACCCCGCGCGGGACGAGCAGGGCCCGCGCGCGCTCTCCCCTCACTCCACCCAACTACTTCTGTCCCAACCTACCCCCCCTCCCCTGCCCTCGAGACTCACCCGACCATGACCCGCTTCTCCTGCACGGCCAGTGGATGGGAATGCAGTGAAGCTCTGTTACCTATCCGAGGGACGGGAAGGCGATGGCGCCGAAGAAAGACCCCAAGCAGAGGAAGAACGACCCCGTGAAGGACGCGGCGGCCAGCGACGACGACGCCGGACGCCGGACGACGACGACGCCGGACGCCGGACGAGCGACGACGACGGACAGAGGGTCCGTCGTCGTCTTGCCACCATTCGTTTCTGATACGTTTCTGGTGAGAAGAAAGAGAAGAAGGAGAGAGCCAAGCAGCTGCGGCAGCAGAACGCAGAGCACGAGAAAGCTTTGGCGAAAATGCGGTGCGCCACGGGGTTGGGTACAGGGTGATTCGGCGATTGAAACGATCGTTTCAATCGCCGAATCACCCTATACCCCGTGTGTGGGGGGGAGGTACCACATCAACCTCGACAAAGCTGAGGTGCGCAAGGCATTCGATAAGACCGACAGGAATGAGAAGAAGAGGTGGCTGAAAATGTTCCACGAGCACGGCGATCTCACCAGCGAGGGGAGGGGGATTGGACATCATTCACTCATCTAGTCTCGTGTGTTCGATTGGAGAAGTCGCTGACATGTTGATGGGGCGCGGCGTCCCATCCACGTGTCAGCGACTCCCCGCCCTCCCTGTCCCCCCCCCCCTCGGTGACTTCGAATGGGTCATCGCGGAGAAAGCCGAAAAGAAAAGGCGTGTGCAGTCCAAGGGGCAGCTGGGCTCCTGGAAGTCCAAGGACCAGCTCCTCCTCATGTTCGGATTCGACCAAGCACACCCAGAGAGCCCCATGAGTCTCAGGACTGGAGCTTTGAATCGCCAGGGCCCGCAGGACGATCTACACCACAAGCTGGATGGCTTGAGGTGTAGATCGTTCTGTATCGATGGTTTTTCTAGCGATCCACAGGGCCGTTGCCCGCACGGACGCGACCATCGCCACCTGCGAGAAGCTCCGCGGACATACCGACGTCACAGGGGCGTGAAGATCGATCGGATCGAGGTGGATGGGGGGAGATGGAGGGGAGCGATGGGGGGGAAGAGCAGGGGGAGGGAAGGCAGGCTCGAGCTCGGAGGGAAGGTCGACCCTCAGAACGGTGAGACCGTCTACAAGCGCGTCGACAAGGAGGAACATCAGTGGCAGGATAGCGCGTTTTCGCTCTCCCGCCCGATCGCTTGAGAAGGCACGAGGGAGTAGGAGAGAGGCGGGGGGATGACAGGAGGGGGGATCGGCAAGAAGATAAGGGAAGGGGAGTAGAAAGAAGCAAGGGGATCAGCATGAGGATGACGAACATCGATTCGTCATGAACTCCCAAGCCTCATCGATATCAGTCACCTCGACGCCTAGTGCGCAAACCATCCCACAGCACGACGAGAAGGAGCTGAAGACCACCATGCAGTCAAAAGATACCACTACGAATGCGAAGAAAGCCGTGGTCCGTTCGGACGGGATGGTGGAGGAGAAGAGGGGGTCAACCACGCATGCATCTGCATACATGTTTGTGCATCTCTGTGTTTTGAAAAGTGGTTGATCGCTCACGCTCGATCAACATGTACATGCACACATACATGCTGATAGTACGTGAGGGGAGGTCGACGACTCCTCAGATTCCAGCGAGTACTCATACTGTTCGGAGTCGGAGGATGAACGCCAGACCGTTGATGGTCCTGCCGCTAGTTTGGCGGGCTCGGGGAGTTCGAGGGGCCATGTACACGATGAGGCTCAGAAGTTGCTCGGCGACGTGGCGACCCTCAAGGCAGTTCTCTCTGGCTGGACGGTGGGCTGCGGGAGGGCAGTCGATGTGTTGCTTCAGTTCGGGGTGGATGGTTACCTACCTACGTGTATATCTACATACCTAGTGGATCTGCACACGGGCACAGGCATACACATATGTATATACATACATATATATATATGTAATAGATGTACATACACACACCTATGTTTTTATATATCTTTATATATGTATATGTATATATGTATAGCGCTCACATATCCATATACGCGTCGGTATGTGTTTCGCCGCTGATATCAAAATTTAAGGGGAGGTGAAATCGATGCCATGGCTCGCACCATGGGCAACGGAGCTGAACGAGAGCAACAAAAACTTGAAGGAGGCTGAGATCAGCTTGATCTCCATCGTGCAGGATACACGTTTACGGTGGATGGTGGATGAGGGGAAAAGGAACGGAGGATGTAGCATGTAGATGCGTCCTGGCTCCAGGGCACGTGGAATGTGGACGAGATGCTGGCGAGGCTGGATCGTGTGGAGACGGAGATCGCGGGTCTGAAGTGGGACGAGGCTTTCGAGAATGCGGGGATCCCTGAGGCTCGTGACTTCCTCCTCCACGCACCGATCCTCCACCTCCTCCACGCCCTCCCTCAGGGCAACGACGGTGACCACGACATGGATGCGTGCAAGACGATGTACGTTGAGGCGGGAGGGGATCCCTCCCTCCTCTCATTCCAGTTCCACCTGAATCCATTCGAAGTCCATCGATTGTGCAGCTCATGTCATGCTGAGGTCAACCCAGGTTGCGAGGGTAGGAGTGACCTCAGCATGAGATTTCCAGGGGAGTGGGAGGCCCAGACGCTCTACCAGAACATCATGCCGATCCAGGAGTCCGTGAGCAATGCTAACAAGGCGATCAAGAAGAACGCAGCGTGAGGGCGGAGGGCGAGGGCCCCCCCCCGTGGAGGGAGGAGGAACAGGAGGAATGAAGAAGCAGGAGAAGGATGAGGGGAATGGGGGCAGAGGGGAGGGTGGGTAGAAAGAGGATGGTGAGGCAGGGCAGCGGGAGGATGAGTAGACAGCACACTTTGCAAGAATGTTGCCTGGCTAGGGGCCCAGGCGGCAACGGGTGCAGCTAGCGATGACTGCTAGCGCTAGTTCCTCCTCACCTCCACTCACCTCGAGCACTAACTAGCTCCTCCTCCTCCTCCTCCTCCTCCTCCTCCTCCTCCTCCTCACCTCCTCATCCCCCCCAGCCGCGCTTTGGGCCCGTCGCCAACGACGGGGACGCAGACGGTGCGAGGAGCGCCGACCGCGATTTCGGACGGAAATGCGAGCTTGAGGGAGGTGCCGCACTGGAAGGAAGGGTTTCGATCAGTCGGGTCCCATGCGTTACCTTGAGCAGTGAACGCCTGTCAGCTGGCTGGTGGGGTTCTGTGAATTGTTCTTATGTTGACCCTTCCATCAACCAAACGCTCTATGTAATCTATTGGTCGATCTTGCAATACTAACGTTTACGATGATTGTGAAAATGATGGTGGTGGATTTCAAACGGTATGTTCGATGATACGCGATGGTGTATTAAATTGTAATGATGCGTTGTATGCTACGCGATGTTACGACCAAACTGGCAAAAGACTTACAGGGCGCAAAGGTAACCGTGCTTCGACGCGCGAAGCTCGGCTTTCCAAAAGGCTTCGGGAGCGCGATGGTAACCGTGCTTCGACGCTTGAACCTCCGTAGACGACGCCCGCTCGAGCTGTTTGAAGGTGCTGCCCGCTCGCGCCATTGACCTCCAAGCCCCGATAAACACCAAGGCTACCACCTCCCTCTCCCAGTCCACGCTTTCTGAGCAACAGGGGGAAGGACGTGGAGGCTCTCGTAAGTATCGGGGTTTGGATCACTACAGCTTGTGCCAAATGCCATCCAGACGTGGAGCTGCTATATTGGCTGCGCGTGGTGCCGCGGAGATTGGAGGCGGTGGCGCCCACATCGTTTCTGCTGCTGCCCCGTCGCCCCCACGTGATCGGCCAGACGACCAAGATCGCCCAGATGGCTCCGGATTGCGGAAATTTCTGCTTGAGAGATACAGGAGTGGAAAAATGACCGCTACCGACGTCTGTTTGCTGGCGCACTATTCGGTCAAGGCTGGAGCTGTTGGAGTGGGCGACTTGGCCCGCCCCCCTGGGTCAACCCACCGCGCTGCTCATTTACGAAAGGCGGGGAGCTCGACACAAAAACCACCCTCGACCATGCCGTCTTGAAGCGAAGGGGCCCAGACCCAGACCCTCTCGTCATTGTCTGGGTCCAGACCCCTTTGCATCAAGAGGGGGAAGTTGAGGTTGGGGCGCATTGTTCCTGGCTCCTCGCGGCAGGCCATTGGAGCCCCATCGGAACACGACTTCTATGTTGCTGATATTCCATCTTGGCACAAAAAAACACGGAAACCAGATATCTGCCACGATTTCCGTTCTATCTGCCTCACGAGGCCTTTGCTGCCCAATATGATGAGGACCCGTTGCAATTCAACGTGGGACGTCTGGCTCCTGAACTTCGCCCTGGAACTTATGATGGCCACCCCGTCCGCCTGGAGAAAGGGGACCTGTGTGTCCCTGTTGGCCTTTACTCCGACGGCGTTCCCTTTTCAAAAAAAGATGGTTTCATTTGTTGGTTTTGGTCGAATACCATTATTGGGCGGCGAACATTGATTTGTGCTTTGAAGAAATCTGACCATTGCCAGTGCTCCTGCAAAGGCACCTGCAGCATTCTAGCTGCGCAGCGCGTCTTGGTCCAGGGCCCAACATGTGTGCGCGCAAATCTGCGGGGCTCTCCAGTGGATCCTCCTCGGCGTCGCGGCCGCCCCCCCCCTTCCTCGACGGGGGAGGGGCGGCGCCGAGAAGGGTCGACGAGGAACCCCTGACCTGACATGGCGCATGCACACCTTGGGCCCCCATCAGGCGTGGAGTTTCAACCAGATGGCCACTGGCCGCTGGCCAGAAGCCGATCACAACGGCGACCCGTTCTTGAATGAGACACGTGCTGCGCAGCGTGGTTTTAATCTCGCTGGTGGGAAATGCGGTGCAGTTTGCGAGTTCCGCGCAGATTTAATGGAGCTAGTTTCATCGCTCGGCCTGAAGACATGGGCAAACCCCGAACACCCATGTATGTTTTGCCACGCTAAGAGGGATGATATGTTCAAATTCGCGCCTTCGATCAGATCGTGTCAATGGGCGGAAAGAAACGCTGCTGATTATACACGGGGTGTCCTGCAATGTTCGATTAAAAGAATGGCGGCTTCAAAAGCACAGTTACGGCGTCTTCTAGCGAAGATGACTTTTGATGAAAAGTTCGGAGGGCTGGGTTTGAATGAGGATTTCCCCGGGCTCGGCCTTCCTGCTGGACACAAGCTCATTGCCGATGAGAACGTGCGGGATATTCACGGGGTGGGGGATCTCGAGGTGCCTGAGGATGGCCTTATGCTGTCTTTTTGGGATACTAAACAAGCCGGCCCTCTGAACATGATGTGTGTTCTTTTTTCTATAATAGGGCTCACCATGGAGACTGTACATCTGGATTCAACGCACGTCATTGTTTTAGGAGTTTTGCAATTCCTCGCAGGCGCAATTTTCCATTATCTGATAGAAGGCAATTTCGCCCACAGCAATTAAGCCAGGGGGCAGCAAACGCCAGGCGCCTGAAGGCATTTCCCAGGGGGGAGGGCCCAGGGGGGCCCAGGGGACCGAACATGATTGTGAAACGACGGTGGCGCGCGAAAACAAGGGTCAGGTGTTTGTTGGCCCCTGTACTCAACCGTGGCAGCCCGCAGGATTACGAATTTGATCCATCCCAATCGGCGTTTGAAAGCATACTATAGGACGAGAGCGTTTGCTCGTGGTAAGTACTCTTGCGTTAACAAGGTGACTTGGAAGATGCTGTCGCCTACAGCGAGTGGCAGTCCACGTTTCAAAGCAAAGGCAGCATAATGTCGGAATATGTTACCTTTGCTCGTCGACCTCTGCCGCGAGAATTTGCAGTTTCTCGGCGAAGGTGGACATTCCTTGTATTTGGCTACTCAGGAACTCAACAAAGTTCATGTCATCATGAAACGTGAACCACGGCGCATGAGCGCTGTAGGTTTAACCACAATGCAGTCTTCCATGGTGAAAATTTTACATTTATGGAAATTGCGGGGAGGACACGAAGTTTACAAACACCACGCTTGTTGGTGCCTAGTCCGCCGCGCAGGCAGGCGCGGCAACCCTAGATGGCACTGGACGCACAGAGACGAGCAAGAGAATGGGGTCATGGGGACTGCAGCTAAGAGCTGCCATGCTGGACCCACTTTTTACATCACGCTGCTCCAGAAAGTCCTGACCCATAAGGGATTGTACGCAATCATCATTATCATCACCATCGGGGGAGGGAGAGGAGCAGGAAAAAGGGAGGAGGACAAACCACACAGGGTCCACATGCTACGGCCGACTGTTTTTCCACATCGGGGGGGGGCGGCATGGGCCCCCCTCCCCCACGCGAAGAACAGGAGGACGAGGCGGCGGTTGGCGAGGTTCCGGGCCGCCCAGGAGCGCAGGCCGCCGCGCCAACCGCCCCTCATTTTTGCACGCTCCTGTCGCGTTCCCGTTTTTTTTCCGAGGGAGAGAAGCCGTGCGCGTCGGGGGTGCATTCGCTTAGGAGGGGCGTGATCTTTTCAGGCCCAGGGAGGAGGAGGAGGAGGAGGGCAATTTAAGCGGCATTCCCGCCGAGAGGCCGCTCGCCCGCCAGGGGCACTTTCTGTTCGCTTCGATCGATGAGGAGCGAGGAAAAAAGGAAGAGGAAAAAGAGGAGGAGGAGGAGAAGGCACTCGCCTAGATCAGGGGCCAAGATGCCGAGGTCTGGAGCAATGCCACGTCGTGGCGACCGCACCTTCCGCCCCCGCGAGGTGCTCGCCTGTTTGCTTTTGCTTTAAGAGAGAGCCGTGCGCGTCAGAGGTGCATTGACGACGGGGGGGGGGGGGGGGGGTGGGGGGCGGGGGGCCGGCCCGCCCCCCCCCCCCCCCCCCCCCCCCCCTCGCACTACACATGCAAGACACACAACAAACGCACGCGCACACGCACACAAACACACAACACACACAACACACAACACACACACACACAACAGACAACGCACACACACACACACACACACACACACACACAACACACATTGCACACAAAGACACACAACGCACAGCACACACACACACACACACACACACACACACACACACACACACACACGCACACACACACACATACGCACCGTGATCTTTTACCCGCGCCCCTTTTTTTCCAACGCGGGTAAAAGCAATATTTGTTGACGAGGATAAAGGGGGTGAGACCCAGGGAGGACAAGGGGGAACGCAGGGCGGGCGCGGATCGCCCTGCAGTCCTTGCCGCGGGCCCCGCGCGCGGCCAGCGGCAGGACGCCGAGCGCGAGCGCGCGCGCAGCGGACGCCATCTTTTGATACGGGGTTGGAGGCACAGGGGGGGGGAAACCCATGGAGGGGACGTTGGGGCGGAGGCCGCGCGGCTCGCGCGGCGGGCCGCACGAGAATTCAGAGTTCAGGCGCGCCAGGGAGTTGCCATCGTTTTTTTTTCACGCGGGTTGAAAAGGAAGACACGGGGGAGAAACCCAGGAGGAAGGGGAGGGAGGGGAGGAAGGCTGGAACGATGCACGCCCGAGTCGCGCACGACCATTTTGCGTGCGCGGGCAGCCCCGCCACCCGCAGCCTTCCAGAAACGAAGAGGATCAGTACAGAAAAAAACGCAAGAGGAGGAGGACCACCAATCGATCGTCAAAAAGGACGACGATTGGTGGAAAAAGACCGACCAAAACACGCATTTTTTCTCGGCCGCCCAGGCCGACGCCGCCGCGCCCGCGGCGGCCGCTGGCACTGC